TTCAGTCATTGAGCAGAGACAGTAGAAACAAAACAATGCTGTAATAGATGTGTGTCTCATTCTCCATTAGCATATCAAGCAGATGCTAGAAAACAAGGATCTTCTGTTTTAGAAAGTATGTCAGAAATTTCCATCCACAGCCATCCTCGACTCCAATATCAGTTATCTCTCTGAGACCACCAATGACCTCAGGGTCAAAACCACCTTCCTGTTTCAGAATCTCCTTGCTACCTAGCCCCTTCATTTCCTAAGGATCACCTGTGTCTTCACAGACTGCCAGTGTGCTTTCTCAGCTTCCTACTTCTTCAGTCTCACCTTGTCTTCTGAGTCCTGACTGCTTACCTAAGTTTGACCAGCCTCCTGATTCTTCCTATTCACATGGCTTCATTTTCACCACCCGCTCTTAAATGTTACCCAGCTATGCCCTGAATCAGGCATCTACCCAGGCTTCTGATCCTGCTCTAAGACCTGGCAATCTTCCTCCTTCGTGCTTGTGTCTGAGATCCATGCAAAGTTCTACAGAGCTAAACAGAGCACGTGGACCAGCCACCCTAACCCAGACTTTTGGGCCTAGATAGCACTCAGGGCTCCCTGCAATTCCACGCTACCTTTCTAATCTCATCCTTCTCTAGTCAAGCTCACAGAACCCTCCTTTCTGGCAGGCTTTTCTTGTCTCTGCCACCTAAACTTGCCTGGTTCATTCCTGTCTCTGTGCCTTTGCTCTCAGGCCATACTTCCTCCCCAAAGACCCAACGCTCTCCCCTCACCTGCTACCAGGCACCCATTCTGATCATAAGCTTCCTCCCTCCACATCTAACCAAGGTTCTCCCTCCCCAGAGAAGTCTCCCCTGATCACCAGGCTTCCAGGGATCCTTCACTCCTCTGAATTCCTGTATTTCCCGATCACTCACCTGGCAATCTGCGATAGGTGTTTGTTTACCTTTTAATCTTATCTTTTCACAGGAGAGCCATTTCCTCATGAGCATGAACCATAAAGCACACTTTAAAAAGCTGAACACTACAATAGCAGTCAACACTAAGCAAGAGTTTTCAGAACATAAGAGTCTCCCAACAGGAACAAGCAATCTCATTTTTTCATGTTTCTTTCTACCCCTTGCCCATTTCTGCTGACATTTTTACACAGTAAGAATCATAACAGCAGATCCAACTGTACAGTTGTACATACTGCTTTCCATTCTGCTTTTTCTGCTAACATAGGAAACTGTCTTCCTTGGTAAATAATGCTGATTTTCATCATTTTTAATATCTACATAACAATCCTTCCACTGAGATTCTAGACCATGATTTACTTAAGCACTGACTTCCACCAAACGGTATATTCTTCTTTCTTTATGCCTTTCACTGCATCAAGTACTATAAAATGCAAAGTAATCCCTTGAGAAATACCTGTTGAAATATATTTATTATCCATTTTCCCTAACAACCCATTTCACTATTTTTCTCTCCAACTAAATATCTAATGTAATTCTTGGTTTCACTACCTTAGGCTAGGTAGATAGGAAAGGTATTTTCCAAACCCTTTTGATGTAAATGTATTTATTTTGGCAGTTGATCTTATACATATTTAACCATGGGACGTCCTCTGCAGAAAGGCAATATGATCCTGTAATATCTAATATAAGCTAGACACCTGGCAGGCACTCAGTAAATATGAAGTATTTTTTAAACCATCTGAAGTTATAAAACTTCAAATTCCTAAACAGGAGAGTGTCACTGATCTAGCTAGTACCATCGATTATGCTTGTAAACCTTTCAGTTCATTCAATAATTAAACTGGTTAATAATTATGAATGGGTGTTCCTTACAGTATATAGAAAAACACAACCAGAGTTACCTGGTGAGTTGTCCAAGTCTGAAAAATAACATGAAAAACCAAACGATATCTGCAACAAGAACTTCAAGATCTCATGACAAATCAAGTTAACAGCTTTCCTTCAGCTTAAGGACACATTTCAGATGAAGAAAAGCAAAAACAGAAGTTGTAATATTAAAAGTAGGTAAAATTACATATGCATGTGAACACAAACTAGAATGGAAATAAGAAAATGAGAGCGTGAATTGTTAAAATGGAAGGATGTCGTAGACTTTTTCCCTTTTATGTTTTGTTTTGTTACTGCAATGTTAAAATATATAACAAAAAAATATTACTGACAAAAGCATATTCAGTAGCCGTTATAATTTTTGCTATTACTGAACTAGGGCATAATGCTTAATGTTGAAATAACTTTGTTTCCCAAACCCACATATCATTTAGCAAAAAAGACTGAAACTCTTACTTCCACAATAAATGTTAAATAAGAAACCAACTAACTACCTTAACACCTTAGCACAGATACTGAATCACACGAAGAACTTAATGGTATGCTAGAAGCTTCTTGCAAATTTCAGTTTTCCTCAAAAAGTAGCCAATATAATTCCAAATATCAGAATCTATACAGCAAAACTTCATCATCCTGGTAACCCATTCTCTTCTCATTCTTACTTGTGAAGGGTGATTTCTGAGGTTGCATCCTGAACTGATAAGCTAAAAGAGAAATAATTGTGACTAAAAGTTTACTATTTGTCATAATTATACACTACTACTTACTTAATACACTAATTTTCCCAGGAGTAATGATTAGTCAAAGTAATATGATTCTTTTCAAAATTACCGGAAATTAAATACATTTCTGTTTTAGTCTTTTTAAACAAATTCCAGACAGCAGTTTGAAAATCACTGGCTTTAGGGGAGCCTGGTTAGCTCAGTCAGCAGAGCATGCAACACTTGATCTGGGCGTGGTAAGTTCAAACTCCATGCTGGGTGTGGAGATTACTTAAAAATGAAATCTTAAAAAAAAGAAAAAAATCATTAGCTTTAGAATTCCACTACATGTATTCCACTACTTCTAGATTTATGTAAATGACAACTTCATGACAAAATAGAACCAAAAACCTTAATTATTGTGGTAATCACAGCAAAAAGAAGTCCATATGCATCTGGAAAATACAAGGCTAGGTAAGAGATGGCACTAAATGAAGGGGGAAGCAGTTTACCATTATAAGGCACTTCTATTAATAGAGCAATGGATCCATGTATAAACCTTAGTTTTGAAATGAGTTCAACCAAAGGAACAACTAACATCCACTGCACAGCTAAAATTATTATTACTCTGTGTGTCCCTGGAAACTCTGATCCTGCCAATTATTACAATCTAACTAATGACAATTTATTTATAACAATAGTACTTGCCCTCAAAAACTGAAATTCATGGGTGGAGGGGAACAGGGAAGGATTCTAATTATCTGAGATAGGTCTTTTGTGATGGTTGGTTAGCTGCATCTTTTTAGCACTGACATTTCCAAGTTTTTTGTGAAAAGGCAATTTTAAGAATGTGCTGAAATCATCCTTTCAGAATCAAATCCAGATAAAGTTGTTTTATGTGGCTTGCTTTTTCCTGTTTTTTTTAATCATTGTGATGGTAATAAAGTTGAATAAAGATGCCTGAACACTTAAGAACGGAAGTTTCTGAAAACTTTCAGAGTTTATCTAAGATCTCTAATTTTGTCAAAGGAAAGACTGAAGCCCCAAAACGTGTACTAGTTTAAGTTCATGGGGGGCGGGAGGGGGCGGGCCGCGGGAAGGAGGAACTCTTCTGTGTCACGTGACAGCCTTAAGCTGACCTAGCAGGGAAAGGAGGAATCACCAACTCCAATAGAAGAGATGACTCTAAGAGAAATAAACCAACTTCCAAAAGAAGGACAACCCAACAAAACATACTGCCAACTGGTTGATCTGTATATCTCAATATACACAAATGACAGCACAGAAAAGGAAAACTCATAATTTCTACACAGACTTAACACTTGATTATGAACAAGTTGCAAAAACGTCTTAGAAGTGATTCTGATACAAGATTTTGACTAGTTAAGAGTCTTATCAATTGAAAAGTCATCTGCTGGGATTTTAACAGTAATCTCAATAACAGCCTTGTATACAAAGTGTTTTCAAATATATTATCTCATTTCAAGTTACTTGCCCAGTCACGCTGCTACTTAAGCATGAAAGCCAAGGCCCAGCCCACCTCCTCTTGGTACTTGAGTTGGGGGTTCTCCTCACTCCATTTGACTGACTAAAGATGATTTAAAATGTACTCGGTTTATCTGCTTTCTCTACCCTCCCTGCAGAATTGAGAGAATGTCTGAAAGATACAATTTCACAAGAATCTTGGCACTTAAACTATTTATTGTCGAGAGATGACGAATATGACTGCAAGCAAAAACAAAACTATCTTAACAGTCAAAAAAAAGAGTGGAAGGGCATCTCTTTTACCCAATTTCAATCAAAGTCTTTACAATTCTTTATGACCGTCCAGGCTAAACGTACATAAAGTGAAAAACGCAGACGAGGAATTTTTGCACTTGAGTGCTTTCTCAGGAGTAAACCAAATTCCCTGCCATTTCTTCCTGCCACGGACCACAGAAGTGCAGGGTTGGGGTGACTGGGCCAGAGACGTGGGGCCTCGGGGTCCCTGGCTGTCCCGGGCAGGCTGGAGGGGTGAGGACACGAGGGGCGGGGGCCACTCTGACAGCTGGCAAGGAGAAAGCGGGGGACGCGGCGGGGCACGAGCGAGGGGCAGGGGTTGGGGGGAGGAAGAAGCGAGCCCGGGGCAAGGGACCAGAGCGCCCTCCTGCAAGGGCAGGGGAGGCGAGAGGGCGAAAGGGCGCCGGGGCGGGGCGGGAGCGCCGGCGGAAGGGGCAGCGGACCGGGACGTGGGGCCCGGGGCGCCCGGGACGCGGTGCGGGCGAGGGGAGGGGCGTCCCCGCGCAGGACTGGCGGGCGCGGGGGACGAGGTTTCGGGGCGCGCCGGCCGCTCTCTCGCCTAGACGCGGACTGCAGGGGCGGGACCGGTCGGACCCCACACGGCGGCCGCGGCTGAGGGAAGGGCGCGCCAGGCACCTGCCGCTCCACCGTGGCGGCCCCGGGCGGGCTCGGCTCTCACCTCTCCGGTTCATGGGCCGGATCCGCACGGCCACTTTCACTTTGGAGTCCCCCATCCTGCTGCCGCCGAGACTCTCCCTCGGCTTCCGTCTGCCGCGGCCACCGGGCAACTCTTCGGGGCTGGCCGGGCGGGAGGGGGCTGCTGGCGGGAGGGGAGGGGCGGGGGCGGAGCCTGGGCGGGGCGGGGCAGGTCGCCGGGCTCCCGGCGCGTCCTCGCTGCATGACGGGACTGCATGACGGGACTTGTAGTCCCTGAAGGTGGTCTAGGGCAGGACAGCCGCGGAGGGGCTCTGGCGGGAGGAATCAGGCGCGCTTCGCTGTGCGGAACGTGTAAATAAATGCCCCTGTGCTTCTACACCATTCTGCTCTCACAGCTACTACTGAAACGTAAGTCGTCGCTAAGCTGATAATCGCACCTGAGAACAAAGAGTTGAATAGATGGCATTGGAGACCCTGAGAGCGACCTCTTCAGACTCATTTCCTGCCAACCTTAAAGTATGATCCCTGGCTCAACTTCCTCGGCCTGGATTGCACTCCCGGCTTAGTTTGCCGAAATCATCCTTCAAGACAAGGCAAACGTTAACCTTTCTGGAAGTCTTCATAGATCCACAGGTTAACTCTATACGACCCCGCCCTCTGAACCCCTTCCAGTCAAGACCTTGGGCTCCTGAACCAATCTGAATTCAAATCCCACGTCAGCACTTTACAGCGGTGTGACCACGGACAAGTGATTTGACCGCTTAAGGCTTGTGTTTTCATAATTAAAATGGAAACACTTTATGCCTATTTCGTAGGATTGTTTCAAGACTTAAATGAATTAATACATGTAAAGTTCTTAAAAACTCCCTGGCACATAGGAAGTGCTCAATAAATGTAAGTCGTAATTATTTTCGCTTTGTTATAGCATTTATGCTGCTATTATTTGCTCTCATCATGTGTTTTTTAAACCATATCTTGTATGTGTAGCCTAGCCTTTAGTAGAGACCCAGTACACATTTATTGCGTGAATGAATGAATGAATGACTGCATGAAGCCGCACTAAAATTAGCTCCTTATTAGCCCATGCAGAGACTGCGAACTGGTGGCCTGTGGGCCAGATCTGGCTTGCAAATATGTTCCATTTGGCACAACAGTACTGGCCAATGCATGAAAATTAGAAGACTTGTCCCTTGGATTCTGGGTCTACATTACCTATTAGGAATGATGGGTTCGAACTGGGTGGTAGTGGCCACCTTCATGGGAGGCAAGGTTCTCCGTTTCGCCATTGACCCCCCTCCACTCTGCTTTACCACTCATGTGCCTGGATCCCATAGGTTTGTGATGCCTACTTGGATAGGTTTAAATGATAGTACAAAACTCAGAACTATTTTACAGATGAGTCAATACGGAAAGCCAGCAAGACTTGTCCTTTTACCAACCACCCAATTAGTTGAAAGAACTTCAAAACAAATAGGAATTGTCAAAAAGGTTAAAAGCACCTTTAAGAGGAATGTCATTCTCATACCACACATAGATGAACATTGAAGACCTTGTGCTCATTGAAATAAGCCAGACACCACACACAAAAACACTGTATGGTTTCATGTAGATGAGATACCTAGAATAACGAAATTCATAGAGACAAAGTAGAATGGTGGTGGTTGTCAGGGATGAGGGGAGGGGAAATGGGGAGTTCGTATTTAATGGTTGTTTGGGAGTTGCTGTTTGGGAAGATAAAAAAGTTCTGGAGATGGATAGTGGTGATGGTCGCACAACAGTGTGAATGTACTTAATGCCACTGTACGCTTCAAAGTGGTTTAAGTGGTGAATTTATGTTATGTGTATTTTACCACAATTTTTTTAAAAAAAGGTTAAAAATAGAAAAAGCTATGCCAGAATGCCCTCTTTAAAAGAAGGGAATTGGGGCGCCTGAGGGTCTCAGTCGGTTAAGTGACTGACTCCTGATTTCGACTCAGGTAATGATCTCAGGGTCATGAGCTAGAGCCCTGAGTTGGGCTCCATGCTCAGCATGGAGTCTGTTTCAGATTCTCTCTCCCTCCCCCTGTCCTTCTCCACCCGCTCCCCTGCTCGTGCTCACTCTCTCTCTCTTAAATAAGTAAAAAAAAATATTTTTTAAAAAATAAATAAAAGAAGGGAATTTATTTCACAGGGGCACTTTCTCTGAGGTTTCAGAGGGCTTTCTCAGCTGCAGAGGGAGTAGATATTAATACAGTAAGTCTTTTGATTTTCACAGCCCAATAAGGTAAACAAATAAAGAGAACCAATTTAGGATTGGCAGCTTTTTAATTTTACCAAGTAAATTTCTTAAAAACTAATGCACATAATTGCTATCTACAGTCCCTATCATTCTTTTAAGAAAAGAAAAGGGCCACAAAGGATACATTTTTATATTGAAATTGTTTGCTTGATGAAAAACCCCACTACTGTCCTTTTGCTTTTATTTAACATTGAAAAAATTTTTATCATGTCCCCTTTATCAGAGCTGGGTACTCTGGTCTTAAATGTACTTCCTAATAACCATCTTACCACATTCAGATTATAACAAATAAGGGTTTGCAATGTGTCAAAGTTCCTGGGCAGCCATTTTTTCCATTTATATCTCTTTTATAACCTGGCAAATGGTTTTAAAAGGCATGGTGTGATGATAGCTTGAATCTAGCTTTTTAAACAGAGGCCAGAAAAAGAGAATGCTGCACAGTTTCTGGGGGAACATTGTGTTTAAATTTAAGCTCAAATTTCAGAGAGAAGAAAGCCCCTGAGGAGTTGAAGTGGGGGTGGGGGGAGAGAGTAATAGGGAAAAGGTGAGGACTTTCTCTAAAGTTCCAAAATCAGACAAATTGTCCTGGAAACATTTGATTGGAAGAAAATGATAGTAGCTTCCCAAGAGACTGTAGAGAAAACCCCTCATGGGCCATTCTCCCTTCTGACTTCTATTCACACTAACTTCTCTCTTTTGACTTCTGCAATAAAGACGAGGAGGGAGGATTCTCAGAGCAGGGAGCCTGAGACCAGAAATGTCTTTATCTTCCCCTGGAAAGTGTTCCTGAGATAGGCGTGAGAGAAAGGACTGAGACGCAAGTTACAACCTGCAGCCCAGGAGCTTGGGGGCTCTCACACCAGGTGAAACTGGAACGCTGCCTCAGCACCACGCAGGAGGTGTGGGCTCAAGCCCCAACAGGAGACATGGAAAGCCACCGGCTCTCTCTTTTCAACTCTTCAGAGGAAGGAAAGGAAAAGAATTTAGTAAACAAAGCACTTCCTTGGACCTTTGTTTTGTAAAGCAAGTATTTAATAAATCAACCAATATTTATGGTGCAGATACTACATTTCAAGCCATTGTGATAGGTCTGTTTAACGTTGAATTTTAGCTGTGTCAGTAAGTTTCTCCTTTTTTTGGTCCTGACATTTTGCACATCTACTCATTCTAAACCTGATTTCTAGTTGACGTTTTTGTTGCTTTGATCCACCCATTCAACAGTTTCTGGTGGTCCATATCTAGGCTGAGGAATACATTTTGCCTTGTCTTTGTTAAGATCATCACTTACAAAATAATAATAGCTAACATACTTTGAATGCACACTATGTGCCAGACACTGTCCTAAGCATTTTACACGAATTAATTCACTTAACACTCACACTAACTCTATGAAGTACTTACTGTTATTATCCCTACATTACAGAGGGGAAACTGAGGACCCGAGCAAATTATTATTTTTTTTTTAAAGATTTTATTTATTTATTCATGAGAGACAGAGGGAGAGAGAGAGGGAGAAAGAGAGAGAGAGAGGCAGAGGGAGAAGCAGGCTCCCAAGGAGCAGGGAGCTCGATGCGGGACTCGATCCCAGGACCCTGGGATCATGACCTGAGCCGAAGGCAGACGCTTAACCATCTGAGCCACCCAGGCACCCAAAACTTTATTTTTCTTTTTTTAAGATTTTATTTATTTATTTGACAGAGAGAGACACACGACGAGAGAGGGAGAGAAGGAACACAAGCAGGGGGAGTGGGAGAGGGAGATGCAGGCTTCCCGCCGAGCAGGGAGCCCGATGCAGGGCTCGATCCGAGGACTCGATCCCAGGACTCGATCCCAGGACTCTGGGATCACGACCTGAGCCGAAGGCAGACGCTTAAGGACTGAGCCACCCAGGCGCCCCCGAGGACCCGAGCAAATTATTGAAGGAGCCGCTGGGCTGCTACTATGTCCTGATCTCCCACTCCACAGCCTTTCATGATGGGAAGCATCTACATGCAGATTGCTCAGCCCGTGGGAATTAAAAAAGATCCAATTTTCACCATTCTACTTTCCAAAAAAGTTTCTAAAACTCCGCTACTGTAAAAAGTGGGAACTGTGTACTAAGTTCTATTTTTGCCTTTAAAAAGGAGGGAATGAGTTAATGGCTACATCGAGGCAGATTTCTTTCCAGCATAAATCAGAATTAACCTGGACTTGGGTCTCAGACTTAGCTTTGCCAGAACTTAGTTTTCCCAATTAGAATCATCCCTTCTGTCTCTCCAGCTATACTGTGAGCACAAGGACAGCATCTTTTGCTAGTCTCTTTATCTCCAACACCTAGGACGATGCCTGGAATGTAGCAGGCAGGCACATAATACATTTTTTGGGAATGAAGATATTAGCAACACAGCAAAATGATTAACCTCAGACAAATTAGATGACTTGCCTCAAGTCACACAGCTAGTAAGTGGCAGGGTTGGAATGCAAACACAAATTTGATTCCAAAAATCTAGGCTGTTGTCACAAAGAAGCCATCCCCATGTGTCCTTTCATGTATTTTTCATGTTAGTGCTACCTTTTCTACCACGTGAATCCTTAGTGGGAGCCTCGGTCTCAATGATAGCAGTCATCCTGTCATACCTGTTATTTATGGAGTGCTTATGTGCCAGGCATTGTGCTCAGGACTCCCCCATGTGATCTCATTTACCTTTCACATCAGTCCCATGAATTCGGTGCTGTGATGATAGCCTTTGACAGATGGGCAACTGAGACTTAAATAAGGCAAATTAACGTGCACAGTAGCCCGAGTAAGAAGTTTCTGAATGTGAATCCTGGGTGTCCCCAACCACTGCGTG